GGTAGCTAAGGAGAAAGGTCTCGTGATTGAAGGAGTTTTGAAGATTTTAAAATATTCTCCTACTCCGTAACTGATAAACTGGCTAAAACGGTATGCGCTTTTTCGCCTAAACTGTCATGAATTGAAAACGGATTGTGTTTTTGGAAACAGACTGTCAAAACTAGAATTTTGACGTAATCAAAATATTTTTTTGAGAACTTTTATTTTTCTCAGTGTTCAGGTCTGTCTCAGTCATAAATTAATTTAATAATATGAATGAGATAAAAATATATAGATTAAATCCAAATGATTAATATGATGTTGTCAAGGGTCAAAATTATGATTTCTAATATTATAAAATCACCTTTGGATTGAGTTTATTTTATGGGTCAAAGTTACAAATTTTAACATTTAAAATTGACATAACTTGAAATCTATAAACCAGATTGATTCATAAAATGTACAGTTGGATTCGTCTCTTCGAGACATATCCATAAAAATAACTTTTTAACAAAAATTCATTATTTTGAAAATCCATTTATTTTTGGTCAAACGTATAAATATTTCTTATTGGATAAAATTTACTTTTGTTTTATAATAAATTTTAGGCCATATTTTGTGGCGTTACATATGTGATGATTCTGTATTCTTAACAGCACAATGATCTATTTTCTTTTCTCCATGATGCAAGCTTGCACTACCAACATGGCATTGATCAGAATCAACATCTTTCACATAATGATTATCACCTATTTTTTTACTGATTCTTAGGTACCCAAATTAAATTATCCTTGTCACATTCTTTTTTCTGTATCTTTGCTCTTTAAAAATCTTACATTTCCTCTGAATGTGTCTCTTTTTTCCACAGCAAAAACATACAGAATTAGCATATACATTAGTATAAGAATACCTTTTAGGTTTAGGATAATGATCCTTGTGTCTTCTCATCCTAGATTGTGTCACAACTCTTTGCCTTTTTACATAGAGTGCTACACAAGATGTCTCAACAGAAGCTTCATGAGATGCTTCAGCGGGTCTGGTAGAAGATGTTCTAGCGGATCTGGCAGCTTCTAGTTTCCTTCTTTCTTGGGCCTTTTGAGCAACTTCCTTTCTTTGATCAACAAACAAATCAAGTGGGCTCTTGTTGCTTTCGGAACCTGAAAATCCGAGACATGTCTCAATAGAATTTTGAAATATTCATTTGTCCCTCAATAGCTTTTGCTCTAGCACTCATCATCCATTTGTGATAGTTTTTGAGTTTATTTAATTCATTCTTGAGATCAGATTGTTGCCCTTCTAAGTTTTCAATCTTCTTTTCTAATTCGGAAATATCCTCCTCTCCAGGAAAGTTTTCTTGTTGGCTTGAAGACGTGCTGCCCACTTCCTTTGGAGAATATCTAGCTCTTCTGCTGTGTAAACCTTTGTGTCATCTTCTGTATAATCCTCTATGTCATCCTTTGCTGTAACATTAACTTTGTATCTCTATAACTCTTTAGTGAGTTGTTCCACATTGCGTTTTGATTGAGAAAGTTCACGTTTGAGACTATCATTTTCCAAACATTTTTTCTTGTTGACCTGTAGAGACTCTTGAAATTTTTCTTCGACAATTATATGCATCTCCTTTGGATCAACGTCACCGGCCATCACAGTCATCGTCATCACTGCAGAAAGTTGGAAAAACACAATATGTTCTAGCACTGTCTTATGTTCAACGGGAATGACACACTCTTTCTTACGTTGTAGATCTTCATGAATCTCCAACTCAATGGTTTCAAAAGATATAGTATTGAGAGGTTATTTTTGTCTAATAGCTTTGACGTCCATATAGTAATTTTCAGGAACAGAACTTAGAACTTTCAACACCAGCTTATGTTCTGTAATTGGTTCACCAAGCCTTTCAGACTCATTTTCCAACTCTCTAACTCACCCATGAAAGTTTGTGATAGACTCAACATCCTCCGTTTTAACATTTTCAATTTTAGACATCACGATCGGAAGTTTGACTGTCTTGACCGTTGTAGTGCCTTCAGAAGTAATAAGAAAAATGTCCCAAGCTCTCTTGGCCTCTATGTAGTTTGAGGTCGATAAGACGGAACTGGTTTCTGTCAACTGCTCCGAAGATTGCATTCAAAGCCTAATCATTCGATTCGGCAGCATCCTTTTCTTTCATGCTAAATCTTTCATAAAAGTTTCTGAATTAGTTCTCCATCTCCATTGGTCATAGTAGGAGCTGACCATCCAACCTCTATTTATCTAAACATGTCCACTAAGAGACTTGAGAAAGGCTCACATTTGACACTTCCAAAAACAATAATCATGGCCACATAATAGCGTAGGTCTAAAAACATTAGAACCTTCTTGAATATCTCCCATGGTGATAGATCGATTAAGCTAGCAACTTAAGCTTGCCAAACTCTGATACCAATTGTAAGTTTGTGGGGTTGCAGCAGAAATCACCAATTGAAAGCTATGCAAACACATCAAACTATGGTGTAGAGAAGATACTGCAGCACTGTCACAGTAACAGATGACACACAGAGTGCTATGGTCACAAGCACACATGCAGAATATAAAGTAAAAGTAGTAAACAGTACACAAGAACTATTTACGCAGTTTGGAGCAACTCTCTTACGTGTGTGGGGCCCACGTCTGTGTAACACCCCTTTACTAAATCACTGTAAGAATTAAACAACCAATCACAAGAGAACCTTCTAATGTATTGATTTGTCTACTTACAATTACGAATGACTTGATGACAAACTATGTTTGCGTCTATCTCCACGGCTATTTACAGCTTCTCCCAGATCTTCTTCAAGGACGTAGATTTCAATACACCTTCAAACAAAGATTTGTCTTTCTCACAAAAAATATGCAGGCTGATCCGAAGCTCATAAATCGAGATGGAAGCGTTGGAATTCAATCTCCACCGTTCATATTCAAGCTCCATGAGTCCTTAGAGTCCTCCTAAAATGTTAGCAAGATCAAACAAGATTTGGTACTCCAATCATCGACAAAACTAGAGCTGCATTTTCTGCAAAAAAAAAACCTGTGGCAATATGTAAATTGTAACTTTGATAACAGAAGATCCATAATTCCGATTGACGTGCAAATTGAACAGATTGGAGCCCTATGTGTTTGGAAAAATCTCTCTAATGTTCAGCAAAATCCAACGTTGGATCTCCAGCGATGATCAATTTCGTGCAGGCTGCCCAGAAAATTCGCACTGGATACGAAACTAACACGAGATATCCTTAATTTGTCAGTAACAGTGGTAGAATTACTATTTGAAACAATAATTGAAGAATATTACTGATTATGCCTTCTAAATGAATGGTGAGGTAACCTTTTATGTGTCCTTTTTCCCCTACAATAATCTAATATACTATGATATATTTCTTTTTTTCATAACCTTTACACTATGTTTTGTACAAGAAATCAGGGAGGAAAGGAAATTTTCATGGAAAAGAAAATGAATGAAAGTCTTAATTTTGTTCGGTTCTTGTGAAGAAAGCAAATGAAAGTTTAATTTTTTTGTTTTACCTAGCCGTTCATAGTCTTGTTAGAATAATAACATATACGGATTTTTAAAATATCAATTATACACATTTACCAAATTTTAGATTTTAATTCTTGTCATCTTTGTCTTTAGTCTAAAATTATTACTCCGTATAATTTAGAAGTCGTTGCTTCTAAATTTTCAGTCGTTGCTTCTAAATTTTCTACTCAGAGACATGTTTGACACCGTTACTCCCGGCCTATGTCTTCTCCGACAAAAGATGTTTGGAGACTATTTTGTGGGATCTGACTCCCTCCGTTTTCGACGGCTACAGATGTTAGAAACAATTTTATTAGATCTGAGTCCCTCCTCCGTCTTCACCGTCGGCAACAGAGGTTGAAGACAATGTTGTTGGACACAAAACTTGAGTTGGATTAGTAACTTGTAAACTGCAGGATCCTCCATGATTGCTCTCTCTCTCACGATCTCCTTTGTTCCACCCAAAAACTAAGCTAAACACTAAGGGTGTTTTTGTAACTTGCTCAATTGATTGACCCTTGACCCTTCCTTGGTAGATGTGGAAAAAAGGAAGGAACAAAAACCATGTTTCAAAAATGCACCCTTAGTTGAAACTAGCAAAGTAATTGACCTCAATGGCTTTAAACACATTCAGGCAGGGATTACAAATAGTATCACGCGTCTGGAAAGGAAAAGGTAATACAAAGTTTTAAGAAGATACTACAATTTACAGGTCTGCAAAACTACACATTTACTGGAAGCTTGAAATCCAACATCTCCTTGACATTTAATCGGATGGAAGGTCCCATGGAAGAGCACACATGAGCACTTTTCCAGTACAATCCTTTTGCACCGGATGGCTTGTTAGCTTCTACGGATTTCTGTAATTTTTTTTAATAAAAAGGCGAACAAACAGATGATCTCCGGTCAAAACGAGGCACGTACATATTAATCAGTGATAGTGCGGAATTGATATTAAAAAAAAAACAGAGCATACCACAACAGCTTGGAAGTTTTGGAGAAGATCGTGATCGGAGAAACCTGTTTTCCCAAACGGTATGTGGACAATCCCAGTTTTATCTGCCCGATATTCAACTTTCCCTTGCTTGAATTCTTGTATGACCTGCATAGCAAGAAAACGAATAACATGGCAAACTTGTCTGCAAGCAAGTGGTAGCTAATATGAAGGAGAGAAAAAATAATTACCTGTGGTATATTTGTTGTTACTGTGCCAGCCTTTGGATTAGGCATGAGCCCTCGGGGGCCCAAGATTCTTCCTAAACTGGCAACCTGATGCAAGTAATACTCACATTAAGTACAATCGTGGCAGACGAACAGGAAGAAGAAGACTGGTGAATGAATATGCAACATGTTGGTTGTTTAACTTGGCATATAAGGATAGAAGAATCAGCACAAAAACAAGTAGAGAAAAAAATATGTTGTGAACTAGTGACTTGGGGATCGAAAAAACAGCTATTTACTGAAGAACAAGCAACCAAATAGGACACCGGACTAACACTCGGTTTGATTCGTGGATTTTGATTAGGAAAAGAAAAGAAAATGGGATGAAAAACTATTTTGTTTGTTTGGTTAGTGAGGAAAACAAAAGCAAAGTGAAAGGAAAAGAAAAGCGGAGAGAAAATGAATTGAAAATGTGGAAAACTATTTTCCTTCCAAAATCGGACTGGAAAATGAGAGAAATGTGAGGGTCGGTGCAACTGACTTCTCACTCAAATGCTCAGACGCTAGAATTTCACGGATAGACACCCACATGCAAAATCTGTGTTTTTTGTCTTAAGTTTTAATTTTTTTGGTGCACCTAATTCTATATTTGATTCTACAGGCTAAAAAAATTAATAATTGTTGTGTTCCAAAAAAAAGGTTGAGAAACGACCGAGAAATAAAAGGCGGTGATATTCACACCCCATACTACGGACTACTTGAAATTTATATAAATAAATTAACAATTTTAGACTAAAAACAAATATGATACAATTAAAATCCAAAATTTGGCAAATATGTATAAGTAATATTTTAAAAATCCGTATTTGGTATTCTAACAAGACAATGAACGGCGCAGTAAAAAAAATTAAACTTTCCTTTGACTTCTCTACAAAAACAAAAAAAAATCAAGAAAAACTATATTCTTCATGAATTTATCTCATAACCAAACAAAACCAGGATTTTGAATTTCATTCCTTTTCTTTTCCTTTCATTGACAATTTCCTTTCCTCCTTGAACAAAAGATGGTGTAAAAGAAACAGAATGTTACCGGTAACTTGTACGTACTGGGATGACTAAACCTAAGATAATAAGGGTGTGTTTTGTTGAGGGGAAAATATTTTCTGGGAATACTTTGATTTTATTTTCCTACGTTTGGTAACATTAGAGGAAGGAAAATAATTTCTCCCAAATGGGAACAAATAATTTACATTTGCTTTCAAAAGAAAATTTCCATTCTCTTCCCACCCCATCCCCCACGCACGCCCCCCGTCCCCTACCACCCCTAACCTCGGCCCCACATACTACCACCCTCATCCACCCCTACCCCACCAGCCCCACTCCTCACCCTCACACCCACTCTGCCCCTTCCACCCCCGGTAACCATCTCCACCCTCACCACGGCCCCACCCCCAGCCCCCTATCCCCACCATCGTCCATCGTCACTCACAACCAGCCCAGGAACCCCATCCAACCGCCCCATGCCCCCTCCACTCTGTATTGCCCCCTATGCTACTAAAATATTACTCCGTATTAAATTATCTCAAAACATCTTCATGAATATTAATCTTCAAATATTAACAGAACTAATTTTTTTTAGAAAATCTTTTCCTTCCCACTAATCGGAAAATATAGTTGGAAAATAATTTTCCTCAGAAATTGTTTTCATACGGAAAATATTCTTCTAGGAAAATACTTTCCCCCAACCAAACACACCTTAAGAAAAGAAAAACGAAAGCACACACCTTTTGATGAAATCTGGAATAGTGTGTTGTGTAGAATGTGATTCAAGTGAGAAACATATCCTTTTATTAAAAATTAAAATTAATCTTTTTTCCCAAGATCGGGATCATCATATACTCCATCCGTCAAAAAAATAAGTTTACAGTTTGACTTCACAGAGATTAAGAAATATGTTGAAAAGTAAATGATGTTTGGTGGAAATTTGTTTAGGCGAAAGCAAAGTGTTTGTTGCTTAACTTAGAAAGTAATGAAGTGAAACTTTGTTTTGGAACATCCTGATGGAACTTTATCCACCGAGGTATGTAAAGTACATACTGAATAATATTAAGTAATAATATGATAAATGTGAACAATAACACATGACGTTTATGGAAACCCAAATCGAGAGAAAACCACGAATATTTTCGGCAGTGCCATGCCAAAGGGGCGCATTATTAGTGATGAGGGTGTATTTGTACAGTATGTCGATGCAATAGCAATTGATGGAGCTCGAGGCTCATGGAGAAGATGATGAATAGGAGATATATGGTGTGAAGATCGTAGATGGAGGCTTGAGTGGCTTAAATAGGCAATTGAAAGTTGAGATGATGAGAGTGGTTGGCTGCGTGCAGGGTTTTGAGGAACAAAGTGACTGAAGCAATGATGGTTCTAAGGTTGATGATGAAGCGGCCAACTAGCACAGCCAATTGGCACTTGGTGGGGCACTCGAGGTTGAACGTTAGTTGAGGATTCGAGTAGTTCGATTGTATTATGTTAAATTCTGAATGGTTGTTGTAAAATCTTGATGGACCCACACAAGAAACTAAGGGGCTTGTGATGGGTATATTGGGCCGAGTGATAAATATTAATGTAATTAGGCCCATATATTTATCCAAGTCATTCGACCAGTGACTTGAGCACGGATCCAAAGGCAACTTGTGAGCCAGTTGGCCGGTTAACCTGCCTGGGCCGTGAGGTATGCGTAATGGGCTGGAGCCGTGAAAGCTAGGGTTAATTACTTGGTGAGAGGTTTACCTAAGTTTCTAAAGTAAGGTCTAATAGGATTGTGAAACTTGGGAGACTATACATACCCCCGAGGGATACGAATAGAGGGGAGTCTTTCATACCATTCTTGAGTCTTACTATTTCATCTCTATAATCATTCCTATTTCTATAATTCATCAAGAGAGATCTTGAGATTAATATAAGGTGGAATTAAAGTTCCATCACATCCCAAAAATGAAAAGTTTAAACTCCATTTTGAGACAAAGGAGTACATTTAACTGTCTACATTTAGTAAAAAAAGATGAAGTGGCGAATGTCTTTTGAATATAAAAGCGGAGATTGCTAAATCAATTCAGAAGAAGATAATGAAAGGTGAGAACAACACCTTAGGCATCATATCTGGCGTTGCGATTAATATATCAAAATCCATAAATCCAGCTTTTATTTGCTCTATCAAATCCTCTCCGCCCACCAAATCCGCTCCTGCACTTTTTGCTTCATCAAACTTCTCACCTGTGAAAACAAAAAACTCATGATTTTCTCATTCTAAAAAACTACAAACACTAGAGTGCATCACACTAATAATCTTTAAAGTACCTTGTGTAAGCACAGCCACTTTGACAGCCTGACCAGTTCCCTTGGGCAAGTTTACCTGAAACAGAAAAAGTCAACATACTTGAAGTAACTAACTGTGCAGGTCACAACAGATGAGATTTGAGCCAAGGTGTGTGTGTCCAGAAACAATAGAAGGCAGATAGCTCACTGTAGCCCTCAACTGTTGATCATTATATTTCGGGTCAATATTTAATCGGAAATGGGCTTCAGATGTTTCCACAAACTTTGTGCTTGCTGTTTTCTTGAGCAATGATATGGCTGTTACTAGGTCATACTCTTTTTTGAATTCCCTCAACTTTTGAATCTCCAAGAATCTCTTAGACCTTGTCTGTCAAAAAGCATAAACAAATATGACCGTGTAAAAAAGAGTACAATGATATCCCATTTGAGTTGAGAGGAACTCAAAATTGGTCCATAACCTAAATTGAGAATTTGAGAATACTATAGAAGTGAATGAGTAACTCAAGAAAAGATAAATGATCGGCTAATTGGAAATTCAAGTTGGTGTCTATCCATTCCTCAACCAAACTAGATTTGCATTCCTACTTATTCTGGAATTCTAGACGGAATTCAAATCTGGCATGAAATTATTTTCACAGTGGAGGAAATTCATTTCCTATAACAAATTCATCCTAAAAAAAATACCCCCAATTTCCAGGTGAAAATGAAGTCCATAAATTTCTCACACAGCGCAACTTGCTGAGCATATTACTACAAAACATCTCAGAACCCAAATTTCATAACGGGAAAGAAAACATAGGTTCATATAAAAACAAGCCATGACCAGAGATTCAAGTGAAAAAATAAACGTACTCGATCTCTCTTGAGAGGCAAAGCGGCCTTGCCTTTCTTGGGCTTTGTTGTGGGAGCGATTGAAACAGCAAATTTTTCAACATCGGCCCCTTCCTCATCCTCCTCGTACACCTCAGGTTCTGAGAAGACCGAAGCACCAGATACAATTATTGATTTTGATGAATGGACACTGGCAACCCAGCTCAATGGAGACGGTTTTCTCTCTCTGCGACGAAGGATGATGAGAGGGTTGATGGATAAAATCTTGTTGCGGGAAAAGAAAGGAGGCAGAGTCTGTGTGCACAGGTTGAGCTCTTGGGAAAGAAACGAAGAAGTGGAGAGAGTGAAAGCAGAAGCAGCCGAGGAAGCCATTTTCCTAGAGAGGCTTCTGGCTGGGCATTCGATTCAAAGGTTCCGTACTTCCGTTCGCCTATCTTATGTTTTGAGATAGCTGATGTGAATAAAAAGGACATCAGACCATCCTACATCTACACTAAAATTTGTAACTTAAACTTACACTAAAGATACATGGACCATGCTACACTTATACAAAAAAATATACTTCATTTGTACACCACAGGTTTGTACAAACATTTCGATGGTTTACACCGACACAAGTGTTGGTGCGTTAATAAATATTCACACGGACACAAATGTTGGTGCGTTTAACAAAAATTAGTTTTACACCAACACAAAGTGTTGGTGCAAAACTGCGGGGTACAAATTGGGGTATAAACCTTGGGGTACACATAGCATAATCCAAGATGTATACCAATATTTTAATGGTTTACACTGACACAAAGTGTTGATGCGTTATCAAGAATTTATACTGACACAAAATGTTAGTGCGTTAACAAAATTTAGCATTACACCAACACAAAATGTTGGTACACACCTTTGGTGTACAAAATATGGTACAAACTCTTCAGGTACAAGTAGCTTTACTCTTCTATCTAGAGTAAACTCCCGGTATATGTAAGAAAATTATAAAGCATTCCTGACTTTCCCCGCAGTGCAACACGGAGTTGGCTACTCTGTTTATTTTGGAATTATTTATTTAGACGGCGTTGGCTACTCCGTTTTGGCTAAATTATTTATTGACAGAGTTGCCTACTCCGTTTGACTCCGTTTTTTTTCTTTTTCCATTTTTTCAGTTTGTTAGTTAATGCAGAAAGAAAGAAAAAGACCCCATCCGTATAAATCCTTTTAACCGTAGGAAAGGCAATTGTTCATTCTTTCACAAGGAGTCTTGCTCTTTTTTTCTTTTCTTTATTTTTTTACCATTTTCCATTTTTTACTCCGCGATCATAAGGGCACTGGAAATACGTTTGAAGCCCCGGAGCTTCAAACCGGGGCTTCAAACTTTCTCTCTGCCACGTCAGCTTTAACTTGCACCCAAAATTCACTGGAAATGGGTTTTAAGCCCCGGAGCTTCAAACTGGGGCTTCAAACCTTCATTTTTTACATTTTTAAATATACATCTTTTAAAGTTAAATTAATAAAATTTAATTAATTTATTATTTAATTATATTGAAACACGAATAATAAAAAAATACATTCATTAAATAAAAAAAAGAGACAATAATTAAAAAAAAGATACATTAATAAAAAACTAAGGTAAATTATATTTCTCCTTGATCTCTCTTATTCTTTGCTCGTAGATCATTCGTCCAATCTCCGACAACGTCCCGGGGTCGGTTTGCATGACTTTCATCTCGGCCTCCTGCTTCTTTAGCTAGCTTCAACTCTTTCTCATTTAGCTTCAACCTCTCTTGTTCTCGGAGATTGAACACCCGAAGTTGTTCAACCATTTCCCGGCCGATTTCGTTGCGGGAAGAAGCGGAAACAGAGGCGGACCCTCCCAAACCAGAGACAATGGATTTTGCCTTCTTTCTTCCGATCGGTCGTGGAATGGGGTCCTCGTCATCGGAATCCGCAACGTTGAAGGGAGGGATTTGATCGGTTGAACCGATAGTCTTGTCGACCTCAACCTCGGCGTCGACGGTGGATCTTTTCCGGAACGATCCGCCGTCAGGATTGTTGAGTTGTTGCCACTTCGGGGAACGACTCAAAATCCTCCAAAGATCGATGGGCACCTTGCCTTGGTGCCCGTCGTCTTGATACCGGATCGTGGCATCAATGCTTATTCGGGCATCATAATGCCGCTTCCCGATGAGGCCGAATGGCCTACTCCAGGATACGAGATAGTGAGAACAACTGCACGAGCGAGGACACAAATCGGTCGACCTACAAGAACTCGTTGTCCGAATAACATGGACTACCGACCAGGGCGACATCGCAATAAACTATAGCTTTATGAATTTCACAAAATAATTAGTTATGGCATGTGTTTTGTAACCTTATTTTTATGAATAAATTATATGTACTCGATCAATAAATTTTTAATATGTCTAACTTTATGTTTTATGAATTTCACAAAATAAATTAGTTATGGCATGTGTTTGGTAATCTTATTTTTATGAATAAATTGTATGTACTTTATGAATAAATTTGTTGTGATTTACTTCTTATTTTAATTTCGTTGTATGCTGCATTATTTAAAGTCAATAAGAAATTATTGACTTTATGCATTTTATTATTAGTAGATTGTTTCATTATATGTAAATAATTTTCTGCTTTTTATAAAAAAAATTGTTTTAAAATTATAAGAAATAGAGAAAAAAATTGATTTAAAAAAGATATAGGAACAAAGTTGAGAAATAAACAAAAACTTTTGATTTTTTAAAAAAAATAATAGGTGGAGATCCCCCCATCTCCACTCTTCGTGCATGTTTCCCGTTCTTCCGCATTCAAAAAAAAAAAAGATGGACGGAGTTGGCTACTCCGTTTCAATTCACTAAATAATCATTTGAAACGGAGTCGGCTACTCCGTTTCACTAAAGAATAAATGGCAAACGGAGTATGCTACTCCGATTTGCTTTATTTGGGAAAGTACATTTTTAAATTACATATAATGGAACACATTTCAACCAATTTACACATGCAGGGAAATCACCCTTCTATCTATTCTATCTAATTCTCTAACTCTTCTTTATTCTCTTATAATCTTATCTATTTATATTTATTATATAAATATATTATAAAAATATTATAAAAAATTTATAAATGTTATAATATATTTTAAAATATTAATAGTTTCACATTATAAATTTATAACTCCCTTTGTCCAAACATTATTTTCAGTTCAGATCAAACTTTATTCACTTTATTGACATATTTTCACTGTTCATTTAATAAAATAATATAGGAATATCACATCTAATGTTGGAGATATCTTGATGTAGTGTTTAAATATATCATTTTTATTTTCTAACTGTAGTCCATTTTTCATATAAAATAATTTGAAAGTTAGTTCGTTCAATCATCGTATCCCAATTGAGAAGATACTTTTTGGAAAAAATACTTTTCGAAGTCCTTTCACTATTTACAACTTTAGAGTTAATGTTGAAATTGTTTTTAGTGCATATTCCATCCGTCACACTTTAAATCACCTGTTTCAGTTTACGATGTTTGTCTTAAGTTATTTTCAAATCATTTTATATAAAAAATGGTATATAATTAAAAAATAAAAATTACATATTTGTAAACCTACATCAAAACATCTATAGAACTAGTAGTGACATGACTAAATTATTTTGTCAAATTATTAACGAAAATAGAAAAAGAAAGTGAACAAGTTTGATCATGTGAATAGTGAACATGCAATTTAATTTCAAACAAAAGAAGTAGAAAATTAGTAATTTTGTTTCCAATCCCTTTAAAATGTTTTATATCGAAAACAATCTTGTTTTTAGTTCCTTTAAACTTAACAAATTAATTCTAAATCGTTTTTACAAGGATGATTTAATTAACAAAATTTTTTAGAGAAACAAAAGGCAAAAACCGCTCAATTTACACGGACCAAAAGCACATTTAACCTTTTTAGAATTATATTCTCTCCGTCCCATTTTATAACACCTGTTTTGGTTTACGATGTTTGACTGAAATTATTTTCAAATCATTTTATATGACAAATGGTATATAGTTAAAAAAAAAAATTACATATTAAAATATTACATCAAAAGATCTACAAAACTAGTAGTGACAATAGTATTTTATTTTATCAAATTGCTAATGAAAATTGAGAAAGAAAGTTGATGAAGTTTGACCCTGTGAATAGTGAACATGCATTATAATTTGAGTAGTATTCAATCCATTTACTTGAAAGAAACATTTGAGCTTCGATTTCTTCCAAATACATATTTGTGTGTAATAAATCTATTTCTACTTCTGAGCGCTTCTGATGTACACATAGATGTTAGAATTATATGTTTTTCGCTTCTCACTTGTGACTTCTATTTTTTTTCAAGAAGTGATGTAGCCCCAATTCCCCCAAATATCATCTTTCATATAGGGGTGGGTGTGGTCCGTGATACTACCGAAACCTATCACGAACTGCTCTTATATAAAATATTTGGTATCCGTATAGTATGAACCCCAAAACCTTTGGTACCATTCCGTTTTGAAATAGAACGAGACAATACCATATTCATGCTCAAACCGTGTCAAAAAATTGTACATGCATCACTCAAAAAATGTTAAAATAAAAGCACAATTTTGTACGGAGTATAAAAAAGCACAACTTTGCTAAATAGAAGTATTGATTTCAAATTCAAAAGGATCAAAAACATAAAGAATAAACGATAAAGAGTACAAATTTTAAAAATAGATTTGTTTACAATCCGTACAATATCAGACTATTAATAATTCTAAATAATAATACGGCCCGATTCTAGTGACACCGGAGAACGGTGCCACTCCGGTGCCATTGCGTTTTTGGGGCACCTCCGTTGCTCCGTTCGTAAAATTGACGGTTCCTACCCTTCCTAACCCATCCCCTAACCCCCCACCCGACCTCCACCCCTGCACCGGAGTGGCACCGTTCTCCGGTGTCACTAGAACCAAGCCGTAATATGGATAGTAATAAAATAATATCAGCAATATTAATGAAAAAATATAAAAAATGAATAATACAATACGAAGTACTCCATATACGATAAAATAAAGTAGACAAATATTTATTTGAGATAATCTGTATATAGTTTTGAACGGTTCAGTCCGTGACAATGAGTTTTAAATATTTATATCACGATCTCATTCTGTTTGATATTTGTTCGGTTTCGGTTCATGATTAAAAACATCAATCCTATTTAAAAACATTATAAACGGTCTAGTACCATCATGGTCCAATATGGTACCATCCTAGTTTGGTTTTTTACCCACCCCTACTCTCATATATTCCCTTCAAGATTTATCTCCTTGTTTCTCTTTTTTCGTCTGAATTCAAACTTACTTTCATTTTTCATATGGAGTATAAATGAGTGTTTAGACAAAAATACCCTTCTCATTATTAAAAATTTCCAACAACCCACCTACCACTTTTTTAGTATGGACATTTTGGACAAATTCACTCCACAGTCAACTTCTCTTCAAAACAAGGAAATGTCAAAATGAAAGCATTACATCTGGACGGAGGAGGTAAGAACTGGAGTAACCAGCTTTCAGTACATGCAAATGTTCTAGTAAGAAGTCGTCTGGTCAAGCCTTGAGTTGTTTAAGTGGATCTGGGGTTATTTCAATGGCCCACTAGTTATGCTATTGAAAAAAATATCTTCAAAATACCCTTCATTTCCCTCTTGTTTTGTCAAAAATGTTAATTGCTAGTAAATGCCATAAGTTGTCAATGATCCCATGAGATAGAGCTTGATGTGCTTGTCTTGCGGCAACACGGTGTGCTTCAAGAACTGAGTCATCACCGAGGAGCACTTTGAGAGCTTCAACAAGGCCATCGCTGGAAACCTATACAATGAGAGTAATAAAGTCATGAAAACCTCATAAACTACTAAGAAAATCCATAAGTATTCAATATCATGCTTGAAGACATAAATCACATAGCATAAATATAATATGAAGATTAATCATACTGAGAGTAAAAAACTTGGCCAAATAATACTCTCTCCGGCAAACGACTTGGGCTCTGTTTGGGAGAGGAGAGGTAAAGGTCTATGAGGCAGGTAATGACATTTGTCCCTAGGTAGTGAGAACTAGGTACTGTCTTTAAAAATGCGTTGAAAGTAAGGCAGTTATGAGGTAGATAATAGCACAATTTTAATGTATCCTTCAAAATAAAAAATGAAAAACAAATCCAAATTCGGAAAAAGCTACTCCCTTGGACTCATGGTCTTCTTCATCTTACTCTTTGCAAACATTAGCTTTGCTTCCATAGAGCTTGGGCACAGGTTGTTTCCTTCATCCTCACAAGTTGCTTCCACGAACAGTGGCAGGTTACGTGGGCACAACTTTGTGGCAGTTTGGGTGAACAGTGCCACTTCTCGTCATGGAGAGAAGTTAATAGTGCACGGTTTGACACAGTGCCAGGAGCGGAAAACACAGAATGGAAAGCTGCCAATGAACCGTCACCCAGCCGGAACCACCTCTGGAACTCTTGTCGTCGCCCTTACGTCAAACTTCTGATGTCGATGGCGACCCTGTCATCCCTGATTCTGAGCCGTCTTCTACCGAGGAAAATCCTCCGTCCGGCATCCCCACCGAGGAATCCACCCCCACCATCACCCCACAAGTTCATCATTCGTCTCGTCCTCGTCATCCTCCTTCTCATCTGGCTGATTATGTCTTGTCATTTCGCTCATGTCGATACTCCATTGTCGTGTTCCTCTACTTCGTCTTCAGTTTAAGGTACAAGACTTTTCTGAGAGCTGTTAATGCTAATACTGAGAAGAAGAATTTTCGTAAGGCCGTACAGTTTGCCTCGTGGCGCGAGGCCATGGCTCAAGAGTTGCTTGCTATAAAATGTAACCGTACGTCGGACATCACTGATCTTCCTCCACACCGTTGGATTGTTAGTGGGTTTACAGAACTAAGTATCGGTTTGATGGTACCAAAGAGCGTGACAAAGCTCGTTTGGTAGTACTTGGTAATCATCGGGATTTTGGGTACTGATTACACTCACACTTTTGCTGCGGTGGCAAAATTAACCATGGTGCGTATACTTTTTTCTGTTCAGTTGCCAGGCCATGGGAGGTTCACCAATTGGATGTCCACATTGCATTTTTTACATGGTGATTTTCAGGAGGATGTGTAAATGAAGCATCTCCCAGGGTATATGGCGGCCTACCCTGGAAAGGTTTGTCAGCTACAGAAGTCCTTATATGGTTTGCACAAGTCTCCACACAATTGGTTTGCTAAGTTGCAACATGCTTTACGATGTTTCGGCTTTTGTTAAGCCCATGCGACCACATGTTGTTTGTGTGGTGTCGTGGTCCGGATATTTTGATTGTTTTGGTATATGTTGACGATATTCTTGTGGCAGGTAACAATTCTTTTGTTTTCTTATCCTTCACAAAGTATATCAACAATTGTTTTCACTTGAAGGATATTGGTCCCGTTTCTTATTTTTCACGGATTGAGTGTGCACGGTCTAAGGAAAGCATGGTTTTGAACCAATGAAAGTATGCTTTGGATTTTATCCAGGAGGCTGGAATATCTGGTTGTAGGCCTCTGGACATGCCTATTCAGCCTGGTCACAATCTTTCCATGTCTCGTAGGGCTGAGATAAGAGATCCCACGAAATATTGTCGCTTGATGAGTTGCCTATTGTATCTTACCATTACTCGTCCAAATATGTGTTTTTCAGTTCATGTTCTCTCACACTTCATGCGGGCTCCATGGCTTAGGCTCTGTTCTGATCTGATTGAATCTGATCTGATTGGATCCGATCTGATCTGATTGGGTCTGATCTGATCTGATTGGGTCTAATCTGATCTGAATATCTGATTGAATCTGATCTGATCTGATTGGATTTGATATGATCTGATTAGATCTGATTTTCTCTAATTAGATCTGGTGTAAATGAATTTAAATTTGATTTAAATTAAACTTAAAATCATTACAAAATTTAATAGTTTGAAAGTATTACAATTCATATATACATAAAAAAAGTAAAATAAGAAAATCAGCTAATCATTAATATGTTTAAACTTTTTTTAAAAATATTAAACATCTTTTTAATATCACAACTTTTTTAATTTTTGAGAAAACTAAATATTTGGTATTAAAATAAACAAATATTAGAAAATATTGATGCTATTCTACAAAATTATCACATTCTATATACATATTACATAATAATATATTTTTCATGTTACAAATTAAAGATCATATAAAACTTTAAACACTAATATTGCTTTCAACTCTATCAATTTTGTCATAAACTCACCCTTGAGTATATTATACCATCTTAAAGTTTAAAAGTAAGTCGTATAAAATATTTATAGTTTTGAAAACTAAGTTTTGTAAAATTATTTTATAAACAAGTATTTTAAAATAACTCTTTTTAAAGTATGAAAAATAGAACTTTTTAAGCTTTAACATTGCTTCCATGCATCATTTCTATCCTACAAGCTAAAAAATTATATAAAATAATGGTTTCTAGTTGAAATATAATAATAATAATAATAATAATAATAATAATAATAATAATAATAATAATAAAAATAATAATAATAATAATAACAACAACAACAATACTAATAATAATAATATTACAACAATAATATTTAAAATTATAATATTAATTACTCCCTCCGTCCGTCTAAGATCTTCTCGTTTTGACTTTTTGTGGTTTTTAAGGAGAGTTGAAAAAAGGTGAAAGTTTACAATAATACCCTTAATGAAAATGGATGGAATGTATTAAATGAGGTAGGTGAGGTGTAATAAATAAAGTAAGTAGGGGTAGTTGTGATATTTTAATTGTTAAAAAAAGTAATGAGAAGATCTATAGTGGACAAATAAAAAGAGCTAATGAGAAGATCTATGGAAGACGGAGGGAGTAAGATTTAGGTGTGTGTAGTTTTAAATAAAGTAATGTGATTTAATCAAATAATAGTAATTATTATTTAATCCTTGAATATAAATATTATCTTTTATATTTTTTCTTGATTTGATAATATTGGATTTGATCTGGTCTGATCTGATCTGATTGGATCTGGTCTGATCTGATTGGATCTGATCTGATTTGACTAGATCTGATCTGATCTGATTGAGTCTGATCTGATCTGATTGGATCTGATCTGATTTGACTAGATCTGATCTGATTTGATTGAGTCTGATCTGATCTGATTGGATTTGATACGATCTAATTAGGTCTGGTCTAATCTGATCTGATCTGATTTCAATAAAAATAAGTAATAAGTAGAAAAAATAAGTCCTACGGAACGGGCCCTTAATCACCTTAATGCAACCCTACGTGTCATGCGGTACTTAAAGGGGCATCCTCGCCATGGTAATTTACTCTGAAGTGACAGTAATTTGGTCCTTACAGGTTATTCAGATTCAGATTGGGCGAGTTGCCCACTTACTCGTCGGTTAGTTACATGTTACTTTATCATGTTAGGGGTTCACCAATCTCGTGGTGCTCTAAAAAGCAAACTATGGTCTCTCGCTTTTCCATAGAAGCAAAATATTGCGCCATGGCAAATGCGTGTAATGAAATTCGTTCGATACGTGGTGTGTTGGAAGCCTTCATGGTCCCCTGTGTTGCTACTCCAAGGTTAAATTGTGACAAATTCGCTTTGTTTATTGCCGCAAATCCAATTTTTCACGAACACTTTAAGCACATTGATATCGATTGTCATATTATTTGTGAATGTGTTCAGCGAAAGCATGTCTCTACTACTTAGGTTCCTACAAAGCTTTAGGTTGCAGATCTTTTTACAAAGGCGGTATCCGGTCCTTTTTTTCAGTTTTTTACTCTTAAGTGGGGCATTTTGGACATTCATGCACCAGCTTGGGGGGGGGGGAGTATTGGAGTATATTCTTGTATTTATTGTATTTCCTTGTATGAAGAATTTCCTTAGATAGATTTGGTAACCCATGTATTATAAATATGGTTTGTTGTATCAATGAAAGGCAAGCAATTCAGTTCCAAAATTCTTCAGGAATGTCCGAGGTTTTAACTCAATTACAAGACAAAAAGAGTGTTGTCATTCCCTTGAGGCAACATAATTCTACTTTTGCAGGTAATTACTAGGGGAGTTATGACAGGCTTCAATTTCCCAAATTAATTTGTGGATTGGATCATGGAGTATATTACTAGGTCCCTATTTCTATCTCTATTAATGGTGGCCTATATGGTATCTTTAATGTGATGAGGGGACTTAGATTTGATGTCATCCTCCTTTATCGTATGCATGGGGTATCTTTCAACGTTGATAAAAATTAAAAAGTTCGTACAAGGACTTAATATAACTTCCACCTAACATATAACCTTGATTGCTTTGTTAGATGTTTTTCTTGGGATATACCCCTCCTTTTCAGTGGGACTAAATCAAAAGCTCATAATCCTTTTCAATGTACGGTGTATATGATATAGAAGATCCACAATTATATTTTTGAGGGCGCTAGGTACAGTTTGCAGGCCATCTTTGTTAAAATTTAAGATTCAGTTTACAAAGTCCTATATAGACTATATTCCTCCTTGCTTACTTTTTGAAGTTGAGGTCTTGTTTTGGCATTTTGAGCTTTTGGTACTTTAGGGCTGGGCATCTAACATATAACCTTGATTGCTTTGCTAGATGTTTTTGTTGGGATATACCCCTCTTATACATGAAGAGTGCACTTTTGAGTTGCATAAATATATGTGTACAGTTTACCCCAAAAAAAGAAGATTACAAACCTGCCGAACTGAAAAAGGATTCAGATGTTGCATCTGATTTGCCATGTTTGAGAAGTGCCCAATGTATGGACCTGTGCATGAGTGGAAAATAATTAAGCCATTATTCAACACATGGTAAGATGAAATTGTACATAAAGCTATTGATCTAATTAGCACATCTGTAGGCTGTAACAACACTTGAAATTGGTAAATAGACTTGAAAGTTGCCTGTCAGAACCGCACATCCTGCTGCTGCTGCTTCTGATATGTTATGACCAGCTGAACCGGGTACAAAAGAACCACCAACTACGGCTATTGGCGTTAGACTATAGAACATTCTGAGTTCACCTGGAGAGCACAAATACAATAACATATATTGTCAATGAAAAAATAGACAGAAGTAGAAGAAAGTCAAAAAAGTAAGAGTAAATTTTATAATTAATCCTTTAAAATATGGACCTTTCCATATTTAGTATTCTATTACCAAGTTTTACATAAGTGATCCTTTGTTCATGGGTACCTTTCCACGTATAGTCTTTTTTTGACCGTCTATCATGTTGGTATTAAATTGAGGGCTAAAAGTATAATTTCACAATGGCCCTACATCCTTCTTGCCATAGCAAATGTCAGAGATTGTTGATGATGTGTCATTTGTCCACCGGAGTCGTCGCCCGTGCAACCATAGCCCACAGTTGTCGTCCCTAGTCAGAAATCCAAGTCCGCGGCTAGGGTCATTAATGTTGTGTTGTCCGTCAAGCCGACACAAGTATATATGGTTGGATGTCGGTGTAAAATAGTACTATTTGTCCTCAATTTAAGACCAAGATGGCGAAAGGCTAGAAAAACTATTTATGGAGAAGTATCCATAAACGAAGGACCACAAACGTAATACTTTGTAATAGAGGACTAAATATGAAAAACCCCCAATTCTAAAAGGACTAACTATAGAATTTACAAAGAAAGTAATATCTCCTTGTTTTTATTGTGTGCCAAATCTTAAATTTAAAAACCAAAATCACCAGTTCATCCTTCTAAAAATATATAGCAAAAATAACAAAACCAATAATACTCTCAACTCGATTGAGGTTTTTTTGGATTTTAACATGCGACCGAGCGAAAAACAAGTAGCCTTTTGACTAATGCCCCAAGAAGATAACAAGAACAAATATTGATCTCTCCAAATGCCTACGTATTACGTAATACTCCCTCCATCCGATATCCTTCTTCTTAATAAAGTTTTCTTAGTTAACGTTAATAAACATTGCCGGTGATCAATACGGCATATGCAAAATAAATACATTGAGTTACGATATAACTTTAATATCAATAGATTCATTTTGAAACATAGCTTTGAAAAATCATATTTATGTAATACATGTCTATATATAAATAGAGACATTAATGGTCAAAGTGCTACATTGGAGACCATCAAAAGTCAATTAGGAAGCAAAGTACCCGACAAAGGGAGTACAAAAGGTATGTCAGAACCAAACACGGAAAATGAAACCTATTTTTCATTGAAAGTATAAAGGAGGACCGGACAGATACATAATCTTAAGCAGCCAAAATTTCCAAAAGAATGCCTTCTATGAGCATCTACAACCAAGCTTGTTATATGGATTTGTTATTTTTACATTATAGCAAGTGAATTGTGATATAGCAAGCACTTTTTTGTTCATTCTCCAACCATAATTTGCTATTTTATTTTTCAAGTATTCGCTTGCTAAAGTTTGAGGGGCTTGTTATATTTAGCAAGTCAAAGTCATTTTTAGGCAAACTTGCTAAAATAAAGCATACCCTTTGGAGAAGAACAAAAGGGTTTAGATAGCTATATTATAACTTTTAGCAAGCTAAAATGCTATGGTTGGAGATGCTCTAGGGTAGGCAAGTCCATGGTACTTAAGATTGCATAACAAAAGCTAGTAGACCTAAATCTTCAGTAACTACACTTACAAACCTAAAGTGTCGACCACATAGATGTTTGTTTCTGTCATTATGCTATCGTTACGGGACCGTACAGCCACAGTCAAGTGTTCTTTCTGCAACCCCTGCATAATATGAAGAAAGAAATAAAACAAATCATGTTCTTTCATGTCAATAAAAAGAGAGCCAAATCAAGAGATGCCAAAGCATATACAGTTTAAGTAAGCAAAAATTAAATAAATAAATAAATAACAGGTTCTATAAGTAAACCCTTATGAATAAAATCCAAAACAATTAAATAAATCAATTGATGAAATGATCAGACTGCTAAATTATGAAAGAAGAATCATGACCACTTTCATGCACACTGGCATGTAAGTTTATATAATATATAAATATTACAATGATTCTCTTTCAAAAACCAACTCGACATCCATTGCATGAAAACCATTAATCGTACCAAAGATATTTCTTGCCCATATTGGGGGTGCCGAGGCACGATGATAGTAAGTATGTCAGGATATATTTTCTGAAGCTCTTTGTGGACTTCTATCATGACTACAGATCAAAAATGCTGGAAACATGAGTTATCAAAAATAGTTATTTACTATGAAGAAGCTGCATAAGATTAGAAAAAGATATAATCTCACAACCTCAAGCTAGTAACCTCCTTGTCCATCAAACCGATCCCTTTAGTAAAAAAGCTAGAAAGTGGACTACGAATTTGTAATTTTGTCACAAATGAAAATGAGAAAGAAATGGTTGCCTAAATGGTATACTTTGCTATGTTACGAGAGAATACCTATCTCGGATGAAATCTTACCAATGCCTACTGGCTACTGCTCACATTAAATGTTTTGGAGTGGGGTGGAGGAGAATAAAAATAGGAGAATTGTAAAGCATTGAGGCTTTGCCTCCCACAAAATTAGTTCATGACATGAGTGGCAGTAAAGAACTAAGTGATTCCACATCCTACATGTATAGTCTTCAATAATACCTTTGTCTTCACCTCTGTGGATGGAAGCAGCAAGCCACATTTTTCGCTCAGCAAGCTGTACCTTCAAAGCATCCAAAACTCTATGATCCCTTTCAACAGTGTCAAAGTTATCTACAGCTGAAGCAAACAGAACAAATAATTCCCTCCATGGGAAAATGATGCATCATCTTTTAGCGGTTTTCATTGAAAACATATAGCAGTAAGTGAGCTATTTTCAAAAACTTGTGAAGGTATCCCCCAAACAAGGCACTAACAATAAAATCATCGCTAAAACATAAAAAGCAGTACATGTGAATTATGAAGAGTAAAATATTTGTCGTGTTTAAGTTAAGAAAGTGTACGTTAGCTTTGGAGTGGACTACGAACGGAAGTAGTGTTGGATATTTTTGACTTACAAACTCAAAACTCTACTACTTTTATAGACTACTACAATACTTATATAGCAAAAACAATAGGGCTAAAAGATCCTAAACTCTAGGAATAGTAAACCCTAAAGTTTTGAAAATTAGGAGCAACTACATTTCATTTAGCTCTCAATAAAACTAAAGCATGCGAAAATATGTTCCAAGCTCGAAGGAAAACTGAAACACAGTGCTAGCACTGGAGAAACTTGAATACTTGAGCTTGAACTTGGGGCCCACGCAAGAACATTTAACTTGAAAATTTTCTTGTATTGAACTGAACTCTGCATTACTTTTACTAAACTCTACATAGACTTGATTCCACTAAAGATCCATGATGCTCGCCACTCACAATCAATGTCCCAGCAGGTTTTGTACCAGGAGGAAATGCAGTTGTTGAAGAAAAAGAATCCTTTAATTGTAGACGCTCCTCACATTTAAACTTGAAACAATGTGAGTACTTAATTCTTCAATGTGGTTTTGAATGACATTAGTTATAGCACCTTTCCCATGCAAACTCCAACATTCATGTGTATGCCTAATTTCTTGACAGAAATCATAATTGAATACAGTCAAAATTCCTCCATGCATGTCTTGACACTGTTCTTGTGTCTGTATGATCTTCAAAATGGCAAGGTAAAAATGCATCTCAAGGCGCGCCTCATAGACTTATGGGAAAATGCCTCAAGGTCAGTTAGTCCTATGTCTTGATCTTTTCAAAGAAATTGCAGATTGAAATTTAGCATGAGGCTTACGCCATGAGGCGTATGCCATTTTAAAGAAATTGTTTTAGATTAAGGTTGAATAGTCAATTCAATTAGCAAAATTGAAATACTTATACTTGACAATCCTACTGCTACACACGCCATCATCGGTCGGTCATCATTGCCTTTGCTCATCTTCTTCATCATTTTTCTGCTCTATCGTGACCAGCTCCTCCATCACCACCACTAATGCGTGAGTGTGTGAGTGCCTTATCTTCTGCATTATTTTTTTAGATTTAATCGGGTTTGTTCACATATTACATATAACCGAATGGGTAATGGGTCAATGTTCGAGTCGGTTAGTATGGTGTCGTTTAGTGTGTTTTACATATTTAATTAATTTAAAAAAAGCAGTTGGGTAGTTTCTAAAATGCAATTATGGGTAGTTTCTAATGTTTTATATGTGTGTTGGTTTGTAATAGTTGTGCTGGTTAGTAAGAGTTGTGTTGGTTTGTTCTCTATTTATATTAGAGAACACAATGAATCCTGTAATGGTACACATCAATAAAATATTCTACTTTGCTTTGATCTAATGGAGCGAAAATCCAAAAAGGACCCAGCGATCCTAGACAGCAGATCAAGAATCTTCGACAATATTCTTCCTCGCCTAGGACAAAAATAGCAGGTTGGCTAGTTTTTTCCTTTGGCAGAAGGATTCCAACCAAACAACGCAGGAAAAATGAATCAGCAGGGTAGCTTTCGTTTATGTCTTGGAAGACAGAAAAGCAGGGGCTTGTTTTCTGGTTGGTGGTCGATTGCAGGTGGCTTACGACCCGGGAAGGAATCGAAGTTAAGAGTTTTGTGTAAATTGTCGAAGGAGATATGCAAGGTAAACTACTATTCACTAAAAGTGATGGAGAAGAGAAGGTTAAGGAGCTCAAAACTCAGCATTGTGGTTGTGAGAGCTAAAACCAAGAAGACTTTGGACGTGTCCAAGGTAGAGGTCAGGGGTCCGGGAAAAGTCAGAATGGTGGACAGTTACTGAAATTTAATGAAAATTTCACATTCAGGTCACCAAATGAACCAGAATATGACTGGAGATTTTCATCAGAAACATTCAGCTGAGGAGTCTGTTGTAGTCATTTTTGTCAGAAAAAGGACAGAGATGCTTCAAATATGAATGTTCCAGCTTGTGTGTGATGTTCACAAAAATAAAAAGGAGGGGATTTGGTTCTAGTTGGGTCAATGAGGTTTCAACAATTTGGTGTATCAAGGAACCAACTCAACCAAAAGCTCAAGCGTGTGGTTGTAGGTCAAGGAAAAGTTTGATACTCTAACATACCCTCTCACGTGCAGGCGAGATTTGTCGTTTGCAATGCTTTCCTCATGAACATTAATTTTTTTAAACTGGATGACGGTGATATTCAAACTCATGACCTCTAGGTCAACATGGCTATGGTACATGAACCAATCCAACCAAAAGCTCAAGCCTGTGGTTGTAGGCTCAAGAAAGGTTTTATACTCTACCACAATGCAATATAACAATACCATAAGACATGCTACATGTCCTCTGTTAGCTCAATGCAAACCCCACAAGTAGCATTAGTCGTCATATGCCTCTGAAAGTATTCAGAATATGGATCGCAAGTAAATTAGTAGTTTACTGTTCAACATGGTATTTGACCCTAATTCTAAAGCCTTCACCGAATAACCCAACAATCTCCCACTTGAAGGCTTTCACATAGACACAAATGCCATCCAAGTAAACCCATCAAGAGTAACTCAGTAATTTTCACTGTCAAGTCCTCCAAGCCCCCAGTTCCCAAGAACAAGCTAAGACTCCAGTCATATCCCCTAGTTGCAACCACCCCCTTCATTAATAACCAAAAATTACTGTTGAAGCTCCACAGAGCCTCTGTCTCAACCGGCTTGCACAATTCACCGGATCTAAAGATACACCGAGGACCATTACCACTCTCCAAATTCAGCAAACTATTCCCAAGAGAGATCTTAACATTCAGATTCATAGTCTTCAAAACCCAACGGTATTTCAGAACTGTACTCAGAACACGTCCCATGCTCCCACTGTCACGAAACCCCTGACCTGATTCAGACCTCCGAACATACTCAGCTGTCATCCCCGAAACTCCAAGGTTCACGTTTGCAAAATGAACCTTCTTAGCTTTGCCCGATTCAGTGAGCCCGACTTTGTAAATTGTCTTTACCGGGTTGGTCACTCCCTCAGACCAGTACCATGTATAACGGTCCTCTTTTCAAGCCTCGAGCAATAAGCAAATTTCCTTTGATCACCTTCCATTTTCCACCACCAAACTTGACGTCTATTCCCTGTTCATTCAATTGTCCGACTGAGATCAACTTTGTCTTCAGTCTTGGAATCACCTTCCAAATGAAATTTTTGGATCAATATCTCCCATGCCTGTCACTTTAACATTATGTTTGGTTCAAGGATTTTGGAAGGAAAAGAAAAGAAAATGGTTTTCTTTCATTTTCCTCACCAAAATGGAAGGAATTTGATTTTCCCTCCACTTGGTATATTTTGCCTCCTCATTTTCTTTTCCTTCCACTTTTCCTTTCTTTTCCCCTCTAACCAAACAAGAAAAATGGTTTTCCACTTCATTTTCTTTTCTTTTCCCTTTCAAATTCCTTGAACCAAACATAGTGTAAGGATTTTCCCGTTACCCAACTCTACCTTTCCAAAGTCTCCCTTTTTGAAATTCACCATCGCCTCACCGCTGTGCATGGCATGAAACGAAGCACCAGAATCCATGACCCAAGAGTCAACATAGCTTTCCATGTTGAGTATCAATGCATCACTATCATCATCAGATGCATTCCCAACAACTGCGCTAATTTCGTTTTCCTTGTTTGGGCATTGACTCTGGAGTCTGGACATGCCCAACTTCTTTGCAGACCCAGCACACCACATTCTTTCCAGCCTTAGACGAGCTCTTCCCACGACTCCCACTGTTTCTGTTATTACCTCTTCCCCTACTAACACTGAGTAACCCAGAAGTAGATCCTCCACTAGCGTTCCGCCGGAGAATGTCTTCACCCAAAACACTATCCTGTTCCGGCAGTTTCAGTAACCGCTGTCACAAATTCCGACCAACTATCAGGCAAGGAAGATAACAGAATCATAGCCTGAGTGTTATCATTGAACTTCATGCCTACTGATGATAACCTGGACAAGATCGAATTGACCTCATTAATGTGATCAGCAACTGTGCTGCCCTCGTTCATTCTCATCATGAACAATTCCCTCATCAAGAACACTCTATTACCTGCTGACGGTTTCTCATACATATTTGACAGAGCTGTTAACATACCACAAGCAGTTGTTTCCTTCATGATGTTAAACGCCACACTCCTCGTCAAAGCCAGTGTAATTTTACCTCTTGCCTTTTTATCCTTTCCCAAATTGCTTCAGCAGCCTTATCCATTCCATCCGGTTTCTCTTCCAGTACCATGTCCAAATCGCACTCACCAAGCAACGCCTCTATTTGCATTTTCCACCATGCAAAATCAGTACCGTTGAACTTCTCGATTCGAACCCTCCCGGCCTCAGCCATTGCAAAACGAGAAAAAAAACCAGACAAAAAAAATCAAGGAATAACGGCCCAAAACCCAGCAACCTCCAAAAGAAAACAAACCCTAAAACAAAGAACCCGAACCAACAAGTACCAGGTCCAAAACCAGAAGCCCTAATCGCCAAGTTCACCCAAAACCGACCGAACAGTCCCTAACCAGATCCGAACCAGCCTGTGATCAGATCCGAACCGGACAACCTGCTGTCCCTGTTTGCGACTGTTCCAAAAGGTTTCACTAACCTTAACCGCGGCAGTAAAACAGCAGCAAAAACAATCCTGAACAGTTTCTTCCTGCGATTGATCCTGTGTAACCGTGTGTTTAACCGAACCAAGGCTCCGATACCACTTGTTAGGAATCAGAGATCAGAGGTGGTCAAGCGGAAGTGAACAAACAAACACACACACAAATAGCAGAAAATAAGAACACGAGATTGAACGTGGTTCGGTCAGTAACCTACTCCACGGGTTGCAACTAGGGTTTATCTTTTATTAGGTGCTCACAAATTATAGTTACATGATTGGGTATTTATAAGATATAAACTAGGGTTTACAAAAGAGAGATATGGGGATCAAGGCTTAAGTAACCCTCCCCGGCGTGGTGGAGGGGGTAATCAATCATAATTAAAGTCACAACTTGAAATCTAGCAAAATTGCCTTTTCTTTAGGTCGTCTAGGCGCTTTGAAAGACTTAAGCTCTTTCAAGGTTTCCCTTAGAGGGGAGGATCCTCCTAGAGCCAAGACTCTTTGAGGGAGCGCTCTAATCTAAGACGAAAAGCGTGTGGACTAGCTCCGCAGTAGCTGCGAGAAGTGTTCAGACCCATCGGGCAAAGGCCACACACTTAGATCTAGGTCGGGTGTACAATCAGGGTAGCTAAAAAGTGTTTGGTGAGTCGTACATTTGTGCACATTGAGCTCCAGGGAAACATATGAGTTATCCCCCCTGGGCGTCACAAATCTTGCGAACCTCAATCCAAGAGCCAATTCCAAGTTGCCTTAAGGAGGGGGTCGAGAGAAAAGAACTGGTAGTATGGTTAACCCTGATGCTGGGCTCCTCCCCAAGTCATCCTCTTTCACTTAAGAGAAAATAAGGTCTAAGTGTCCTTCAGGGGAGAGACGATCTTCCTAAAGCAACGACTCTTTGAAGGGGCGATATAGAGGGAATGAAAGGTGCAATCTGGGAGTATGGTTACAGCTGATCTTGGGATCCTCCCTAAGCCATCCCCTTTCACTTAAGAGACATGCATCTCTAAGTATCCTTCGAGGGGAGACGATCTTCCTAGATCAACAACTCTTTAAAGGGGCACTCTAAAGAGTGAAGGGTGCAAGAGCTGATTTTTTTAAGGAAGAGGTACCTGCTCTAAGTCCTTTCAGGAGAATTCTTTTTCTATTTTCACGACAACTTAAAGGACAGGCAACCCTCAGGGAGGGATGAGCCTCAACTAGTTCAGCCTTCGTCTTAAGAGTATTCATTCAATTTGACTTTTTTGAGTCAAACTAGACAAACTTTAGTCATCGATTAAACAAAAATTGTATTGGATATTAGTACACAAATGATTTTGTTAGATTTATGATTTATCTTGCAAAAAACTATTATAAATTTCTTTCATAATATTAATATGCAATGCAAATTTAAAGTAATTGATAATTAAAATTCGTTCATTTTGATTCAAAAAATAAAACTGCTCAATCACTTTGGGACAGAATGAGTATGTTTTGTGCATAAGTTAAGCATGAAAAATTTAGAATTTAAGAACTGGACGGAAGTCGGTGGGTATGATATCTATTTTTCAATGCCATTAACATTATTAAATTTACAGCTAATACTAAAGTACACATGCTGACATATAAACATGTTTTATTTTTTAATTGACGTTTTAAGGCAGCCCCACACTCATTCTTTTTAAAATCTTAGCGCTTTTGTGCACCCGTATCCACACTCTTACTCAAACTCGCTTTCACTTTATGTGATCTAGAAAGCAATAGGTTCATAGCATAGTTTGTAAGGCGTCATCTAGGCGATAAAGCGCTATCACTGGGACGCCTTGTCTCCTCGCCTCGCCTAGAAAACCTTAAGGAGATCAGGCGCTCGCCTAGGCGTCGCCTTAACTCGCCTTACCTCGCCTTGAGGCCTTGGGGCCCTTTAAAATTTTGAAAAACCCCATTTTTAGTGCAGCCCATTTTCTTTTAGTGTAGCCTAATAAACTTAAACTTATCTTCTCTCTATCGGTCTTCTCTGGCTCGATCAAGCTTCCTTAATATGTATAAGACCTATATATATATATATATATATATACATATATATACATATGTATACAAACATATATATACATACATACATACATACATACATACATACATACATATATATATATATATGTATGTATGTATATATATGTATATAAATGTATGTATACATATGTGTGTGTGTGTATATATATATATATATATAGGGGGGAACCACATATATATGTATATATGTATGTATGTGTGTGTATATATATATATATATATATATATATACATACAGGGGGAACCACATATATATGTATATATGTATATATATATGTATGTATATATATATGTATATGTATATGTATGTATATGTGTGTGTGTGTGTGTGTGTATATATATATATGGGTTTGACTCTAGTCAGATGACATGTTTCGGTCAGATGACACTTTCAGTCAGATGACATTCTTTAGAATGAGCACTAGCTTGTTTGAGAATGAGCACTATGTTGTTTCAGAATGAACACTTTGTTGAGCAAATTGGGAATGAGTACTATGTTATTTTAGAATGAGTACTAAGTCTATAATGAGAAATTGTGTGAGAATGAATCCTACGTTGTTTGATAATGAACATCATGTTATTCAAAATGAACCCTCTATTGTCGCCTCACTTGGAATGAACATTATGCTTTTTTTGAAATGAACAGTACGTTGTGATGAACAGTTGTGTGAGAATGAACACTACGTTGGGTTAGAATGAGCACTACATTGATCTAGAATGAACCATACACTGTCATCTGACCGAAAGTGTCATCTGACTGAATTTTGTCATCTGACTGGAGTCAATCCCATACATACATACATACACATACACATACATATATATATATGTATGTGTGTATATATATATATATATATATATATAGACACACACATATAGGGATTGACTGTGACACCTTATGGAGAGATGACATGCTTGTTAGATTGAATCGTATTGTTTAATTCCTGGCCATATGTTAGTTAGTTTAGATTTAAATTTTAAAAATAAAAGGGATAGTTTTTGGGTAGTCATTTCTGTAAGTTATAGGTAGTTATTTCTAGAAGTTGTACTCCCTCCGTCCTAAAACTTTCTTCCCAGAGCACTATTCCAACTTCACGGGAATTTATATTTATTTGTGTTTTTTCATGGCCTATATGATAAAATAAAATATTCTTGTCACCACTTGTTTTGTTGAACTTTTGATGTAGTTTTTAAATATGTATGTTTTATTTTTTATTTCTATACCAATATTTAAATAAAATAGATTGAAAAAACTTGGGATTTTTCTTCGTTTTGCGCAACGGGAAGAAAGATATAGAACAGAGGGAGTATTAGTTAGTAATAGATGTGTTGATTAGTACCAATAGTTGTGTTGGTTGCTGCCTATAAATACTCCAGGAACATAGAATTCTT